ATTTCATCCTATTTAGTTCAGTCCATTTCTCCAGTTTGTCCAGATCATTTTGAAGTATAATCCTATCCTCCAAGGCACTTGCAATCCCTCCCAGCTTGGTGCCATCTGCAAACTTTATAAGTGTACTCTCTATGCCATTAGCTAAATCATTGATGAAGATATTGAACAGAACTGGACCTAGAACTGATCCCTGTGGGACCCTACTCGATATGCCCTTCCAGCATGACTGTGAAACACTGATATCTACTCTCTGGAAACTGTTTTCCAGTCAGTTATGCACCCACCTTATAGTAGCTCCATCTAGGTTTCATTTCCCTAGTTTGTTTATGAGAAGGTCATGTGAGACAGTATCAAAAGCTTTACTAAAGTCAAGATGTACCACATCTAGCACTTCCCCCCACATCCGCAAGGCTTGTTACCCTGTCAAAGAAAGCTATCAGGTTGGTCTGACACAATTTGTTCTTGACAAATCCATGCTGACTGTTACTTATCACCTTATTATCTTCTAGATGTTTGCAAATTGATTGCATTATTATTTGTTCCATTATCTTTCCGGGTACGGAAGTTAAGCTGACTGGTCTGTAATTCCCCGGGTTGTCCTTATTTCCTTTTTTATAGATGGGCACTATATTTGCCCTTTTCAAGTCTTCTGGAATCTCCCCACTCTTCCATGACTTTTCAAAGATAATCGCTAATGGCTCAGCTATCTCCTCAGTCAGCTCCTTGAGTATTTTAGGATGCATTTCATCAGGCCCTGGTGACTTGAAGACATTTAACTCTTTTTTGAGTTTCAGATCATTGAAGATCTCCTGGTTAAGCCAAGGTGGTCTCTTGCCATACTTCCTATCTTTCCCACACAGTGGGATAGTTTGCTCTTGTGCCCTTAATAATGTCTCTCTGAAAAACTGCCAACTGTATTCAATTGTTTTTCCCCTTAGACTTGTTTCCCATGGGGTCTTACCTACCAACTCCCTGAGTTTGCTAAAGTCTGCCTTCTTGAAATCCATTGTCTTTATTTTGCTGTTCTCCCTCCTACCATTCTTTAAAATCATGAACTCTACCATTACATGATCACTTTCACCCAAGCTGCCTTCTACTTTCAAAATTTCAAAACCAGTTCCTCCCTGTTTGTCAAAATCAAATCTAGAACAATCTCTCCCAAGTAGCTTTCTCCACCTTCTGAAATAAAAAAATGTCTCCAATACGTTCCAAGAACTTGTTGAATAATCTGTGCCCTGTTGTGTTATTTTCCCAACAGATGTCTTGTTAGTTGAAGTCCCCCATTTACCACCAAGTCCTGTGCTTTGGATGATTTTGTTTGTTGCTTTAAAAAAGCCTCATCCCCTTATCCACCTCTTCTTCCTGGTTAGGTGTCTGTAGTAGACCCCTACTATGACATCACCCTTGTTTTTTACCCCTTTTATCCTTACCCAGAGACTTTCAACAAGTCTGTCTCCTATTTCCATCTCAACCTCAGTCCAAGTGTATACATTTTTAATATGTAAGGCAATACCTCCTCCCTGTTTTCCCTGCCTGTCCTTCCTGAGCAAGCTGTACCCTTCTATACCAATACTACTTGTTGTCTTTCACCTAAGATTTCAAAGCATTTTACAAATATTAGTTCTGACACCAGCCCGCCTAGCCTCTGAGTACATTAATCGGAAGGGTTATTTCTCTATGGTTCTCCAGGCGCTTGTGGATCACTGTGGGCGTTTCACAGACATTAACGCAGGCTGGTCAGGAAAGGTGCATGACGCACGCATCTTTTGGATCCACAAGCGCCTGGAGAACCATAGAAAAATACCCCTTCCGATTAATGTACTCGGAGGCTAGGTGGGCTCATGTCAGAATTGGAATATGCGTCCCATCTATCGCCCTCCACAGTTAGGGAAACCTATTTGTGCAAAGCCAGCCACAATGTCATGCATGTTACCCAGAGTCACGGTTCTTCTGAGCAGGATGCGATTAAAGGCCCTGCAAACTTGCATCAACACGATTCCAGCGGTCGACTTTCCCACTCCAAACTGGTTAGTGACTGATTGGTAGCTGTTTGGAGTTGCCAGCTTCCAGCTTGCAATAGCCACCCACTTCTCCACTGGCAGGGCAGCTCTCAATCTCGTGTCCTTGCGCCACAGGGTGGGGGCGAGCTCCTCACACAGTCCCATGAAAGTGGCTTTTCTCATCCAAAAGTTCTGCAGCCACTGCTCGTCATCCCAGACTTGCAGGACGTTGTGATCCCACCATTCAGTGCTTGTTTCCCGAGCCCAAAAGTGACGTTCCATGGTGGTGAGCATGTCCGTGAATGCCACAAGCAATCTCATGTCATATGCGTTACTCGAGTCGATATCATCGTCGGAGTCCTCACTGTCAGTTTGGATGTTAAGGAGTAACTCGACTGCCAAACGTGACATGCTGGCGAGACTCGTCAGCATATTCTTCCGCAGTTTGGGCTCCATTCCCGCAGACCGAAAAGGGAAGACAGAGCGCGCAGCACAAAAAACGTTGAAAGATGGCACCAATGTGGACGGATGCAGAGGGATTGCTGGGATGTGAAGCGATGCATCACAGGGCGTTGGGACAGGACCCAGAATGCCCCCCACCTCCTTCCCACAAGCCACAGTGCCAGAATGGGAAGAGGTGCTCTATGGGATAGCTGCCCATAATGCACCGCTCCCAATGCCGCAAATGTGGCTACGCCAGTGCGCTTGCAGCTGTCAGTGTGGACAGACTGCAGCGCTTTCCCTATGGTGCTCTGTGAAGGCTGGTTTAACTCAAAGCGCTCTACATCTGCAAGTGTAGCCATGCCCATAGAGTGAGCACAGTAGAGGGAGAGCAAGCAGGACTCTGGAATGTGAGGTGCACTGGCAATGGGAAAGTGAGCAAGAGTCTGGGCTGCACTGCCTGTGGGAGCAAGCAAGACTCCATGGGAGTTTTCTGGGATCTATTGTCCCTCATGTATCATGAATAAATTTGTCAGTGAAATTCTGGTTGCCAAAGAACCCAGCCTGGTTGTGACATGCCAGGTTGAACGATCAGCACTGACAGGTAGAACAATTATCTCTAATGCCTGAATTTGAGCCAGCCCCACTGGGAAGTGACTGAGAGGGAATAAATAGGAAATGCATTATGTTATTTTCACAGCCACTTTTCTGACTATAACTCCATTATGAGAAAAATCGTTTGTACCTATTGATGAGATAAATAGGAGGGAAGGTCTCCTTCCTCTCCTTATGTTAGGCTGAGAAGTGGCACTAACTTATTCTGATTGTAGAAAGATTGTTCCAGTAAAATAGAATTTGAAGCTCCTAGGGACGTGTTGAGAACAGAGGCTTTTACACTATTTAAAAAGGCAAGAGACAAAACCCCTCGCCAAACTCCTTCACTCTTTATTACCAACAGCTGCAATGCTGCATGTGTCCGGATGCCTTGTAAGTTCCAGGGGAGTAATGGAGGTGGGACAGCATGTGAGCAGATAAAATAGATGGTAGCTTCCTCTCAGCGGCAAGTTTAATTATTTGCACTATCGTAGGCTCAAGAAAAAAAATTATACATATTGGGAAATGATTCGCCCAGCTTCCTGCAGCAGGCAGGTTACGAAAAATATTCACTCTTGCTGGTTCATGACAAAATGAGGTCTTTAAATATTCAGATCCCGCGCATGCCTTTGGAATGGGGGAAGAAAAGGCAGAAGGAGTCTCCTACAAAAGCAAGAGTGCGAGAACTTGCAGGGAACAAAGTAGCATTCATTTCTCTGCATGAAGTAAGATGCCTTCAAGAAGTGAACCAAATCAAACATTAAACCAAAGAAAACCCCTTCCTCTAAAGTACCCCTTCTAAAATGTCCCAGAACATCCCGTCTTCTTCCTTCCTGATAGGGACTGGAGCACACCATCTTACACAGTACTTAGTACATTGTCAGTGCTTAACAAATACAGAATGATCTATATTTTCAAACATGGCAAATGATTTTGGGTGTCCCAGATTTTTGGGTGACCAGCCTGAGATACTTTAAAGGAGCCTGATTTTCCAAAAGTAGAGTGCCAAACCCTCGGAAAATCAGAACCTTTTGTGGTGTCTCACTGTGCGTGGCACCCAAAATCACCAACTACTGTTAAAGGTGTAGAACAATAAATAAATACCACTACTGCTATCATGCACTATATGGGTGCAGACCACGGGTCATGTGATGTGTCCAATCGACACACAGCCCTTGGACGTGTCATTATCTAAATCACAATTTGAGGTTACACACGAGTCACTCAGCAATGCTAGTTACTCCTGCGTGACCAAATCCTGCAGTTCTCAGTCACTCCTGGCTCAGGGAAGTTTCCCACCAAAGTCAATGCTACTTTCACCTGAGTGAGGGCTCAGCTCTGAAGTGCTGAGCAACCTCAACTTCTGTTAACTTCAGCACTTACAAGAACAGGGCCTAAGCAAGGAGTGGCGGGATTTGGGTGGGGCATGATAAAGCCCCGGTGGCCTGAATACTGGATGGTGATTAGGAAAGTGCATGCTGCACCTTCTGAACAGATTAGGAGCCAGTCCTGAACACACTCCTAATGCATATGCATCACTACAGCTGCCTCTGATTTCTGAAGGCAGAATGTCTTTGGGTAGTGCTGTTGGCACAGTGCACTTCTCTATCCCCTTCTCGTTTTTACTTTGGTCACTAAAGCCACAAGATAGCCCTTCATCTCTGTATTAACAAAGCACTGGCTGATCAATGCATTAATGTAAATACATTATACTAGGTTACATCCACAATGTAAACTAGTCAAGCTTAATTTTTCATAGAGTCCAGTTTGTGGGTGCTTTAAGAGAGCATCCAGATCTCACGCCTGGGTACTCAACGCTGCACACAGCTGCACAAAATGAGCACTTGCATGTCTGTGTGCCAATCTGAGCCTCCAAATGGGAGATTTGGATGACCTGCCAGTAGTGGTGTTTGAAAACCAAGTTTGGAAAGCATTGTGGGAGAAAGAAGAGACTTTAGAACTTGCCTCACAGGGAGAATTCCTAATTGGAGCTGGAAACACAGCGCTGGTCACGATGGTTGTTTCTGCCATTGGGACCTTACTGGTGTTCAGCAAGAGGGCAGAGCCTAGATAAAAAACAAAAGAGAAGAGCAGACATGCTGTTGCCACCAACCTCTGGATGCAAGGTTTGTAAAAGGCTCATCAGAACATTCCTGTAAGAACCTTACCTAGTCTGGTTCCGATTGTGTTAACTGGTCCCTGTTTCAGGGGGATAACATATGACAAAAGGCATTTTTCAATTTAGTTTGGATGCAGTCAATACAGCTTCACATACTCTAGGGCCCTATTCGGGAAACATATTTAAGTGATCTGGCTATCTTCTGCACACACATTATTTTTCTGCTTATGCGTAATTTAGGATTCATTTTCTTTGCTGGATCCACAACAAAATGCATTTGTTAAAAAATTTAATTTTAAGTGACTCTTCGTGCTGGTGAAAAATACCAGATTAATAGCAATGCAGTTGGAGCTCTGTCTGTTCCTTTAGGCTAAAGGTCACTCATCATAACAAGGACTGCAGGAGGAACTGGAAACACAGATATTTTCTTGCAGAGGGCATAGTGAGTAGAGGAAAATGCAAAGGGAAATTCTTTGCTCTCTCTGCACAGAGCCAGAGAGGGCTGAGGCTGTGGGAATGATCAGTGGGTCCAAAATGCTGACAATACAGCAGTTGCAAACTTCCACATAAGCTTTGCTCCCCCTGCCTTGGGGATGCAGTACCTGCGAAAGAGGGGAGATTAGGTTGCACTGAACCCTGCCTGCATGGTGTGGGCCCGGCCCCAAACATATTTGTGGGCCCCCATGGGGGCAAAGGAGCATGGCGTGGGGAGGTCGGTCCCCAGAGCAAGGGGCCAGCCAGGGGCATTGGGGCATAGCATGGTGGGGCCGGTCCCGCTCCACCCAGCCTGGTGCAAGGGCACTGTATACAAACCGGCAGTTGCCAGATGCACACTGGCCCAGCCAGCCCCGTGCTGCCAGCATGCCCCTTCCCCTCGGGGGTGGGCCCATGTTGCACCACACTTCCCCCCAACTCCCTATGCCTAGCATCCCCCAGAGCCTCTATGCCCAGCAGCCCCCCCGCACAGACCCTCCACCGCAAATGCACAGCAGCCTGCACACCACCCCGCCCAGCACCCCCCAACAGCCGCACCACTTCTGCCCAATGCACATCTCCACAGCCCACCACCACAACTACACAGCACCCCACTCTAGGGTGACCAGATGTCCCGATTTTATAGGGACAGTCCTGATATTTGGGGTTTTTTTTTATGGGCTCCTATTGCCCCCCACTCCCTATCCTGATTTTTCACACTTGCTATCTGGTCACCCTACCCCACTCAGACCCCCAGCATCCCAATACACAGACCTCTCCCACCCACCCCCAACAGACCTCCCCCTGGCCAGCCGCCCCCCCCCCCCCCACCTCCAGAGACCCACTCCCTCACACCCTGCCCCCTGGCCACACTCACCGGCTCTGCTGGAAGGTGATGGCGTCTGCCAGGCTGAGCTGGCAGCATGGCCGGGGCCGGTCCAGTGCCAGGGCGGGGAATCACTCTGGCATCTTGGGAGTGGCACAATTAGCCAGGTCAGGGTCTGCCCCCGCCCTGGCCGGACTCCCTCAGGATCCACTTGCCTGGAGATAGGATGACTATACATCCCCTTTTGGCTGGGACAGTTCCCTTTTTAAGCTCTGTCCCAGCCATCCTGACTTTTTTTTGACAAAAACGGGCATTTATCCCATTTGCTCTTGCCAACTGATCACTTGGCAAGAGCAAACGAACAAATGCCCAGTTTACCAAAAAAGTCCGGTGTACCCCCCTAGTGGGGCATGGAGGAACATGTTGGCGGGGGGGTGGCGACGCAAGGTGTCAGGCAGCAGGGCTTGGGGAGTCAGCCCCAGGTAGAATGGAGCTTGGGGGGCGGGGTTATGGGGCCAGTCCCAGCCCCTGCCCAGCCCCTGGTAGTGATGTGGGGAGGGTGTCAGCCCCAGCTCCTGGCAGTGGTGCAGGGAGGGGTCAGCTCCAGTCCTGGCAGTGGCATACGGAGCTCGGGGAGGGGAGAAGGGATCAGGGAGGGGGGGCAGCCCCTGTCCGCAGCACGGGGAGCTCGGGGAGGGGAGAAGGGGTCGGGGAGAGAGGGGACAGCCCCTGGCCACAGCTTGGTGAGGAGGGGTCAGCCCCTGGCAGCTTGGAGCTGGGGTGGGGCCAGCAGCCCCAGCCAGGCGGCACGGGGCTCCAGCTCTCTCAGCCCCAGCTGCAGCCAGAGGGCAGAGACGAGCCCATGACTGGCCTATGATCCAACAGGAGAGAGCAGAATGGTGGGCAGGGGGCAGAGGCAGGGGTGGAGAAGAGCTGGCAGGGCCTTGGAGTGCAGCCCAAGCAGAGCGGGCCGGGTCAGGCCGGGGCCCCTTTGGAGCCTGGGCCCGGCGCCATGGCGCCATTGTAAATCCTGTACTGTTTTATTTAATTCTGAACAGTGTTTTTGGGATAGTGTGTATGGCAGATGTGACTCTGTATAATTACTGTTTTCCTTTAGTGGCAGTGCATATAAGCAATAAATGTCTCCTTTGATTTATACTATTGTATGAGGGAAAATGTTCATGGAGGCAGGTAGTTTTGTATGCCACATTTCAGCCTGGTGATAGTTCAATGCCCAGGATATAAACCACTGAATACTGTGGGTTTATGAGAGCAAAGTTGAAATTGTGGGGGGAGTGCAGGGAAGCAGAGACAGGATTAAGAGAAAGTAAATAAGGAATTGTTGAAGGGTGAAGGATCTGGCTGGCTTGGCAGGGTAGAGGCAGGAGGATGTGAAGAGGATAAAAAGTAACAAGGACATATCTGAAGTAAAGCACAGAAGCCTGGGACACCAATCTCTAGTGACAAGACAGACAGGACAATGACAGCCCCAATGGTCTCATGCTCAGGCTAGGTCTACACTACCCGCCTGAATCGGCGGGTAGAAATCGACCTCTCGGGGATCGAATTATCGCGTCTCGTCGGGACACGACAATCAATCCCCGAATCGACGCTCTTACACCACCAGCGGAGGTGGGAGTAAGGGCTTGTCTATACTTACCGCGCTGGTTCGGTGGCAGGCAATCGAACTTCTGGGTTCGATTTATCGCGTCTTGTCTGGACGCAATAAATTGAACCCAGAAGTGCTCGCCGTCGACTCCGGTAATCCTGCTCGGCGCGAGGAGTACGCGGAGTCGACGGGGGAGCCTGCCTGCCGCGTCTGGACTGCGGTAAGTTCGAACTAAGGTACGTCGACTTCAGCTACGTTATTCACGTAGCTGAAGTTGCGTACCTTAGGACGAATTGGGGGGTTAGTGTAGACCAGGCCTAAGCGCCGTCGACGGGAAGCCGCGGAGGTCAATTTTGCCGCCGTCCTTACAGCGGGGTAAGTCGGCCGCGATACGTCGAATTCAGCTAGGTTATTAGCGTAGCTGAATTTGCGTATCTTAAATCGACCCCCCCCCGTAGTGAAGACCTGCCCTCAGAGTGTTTAAGGTGGAAAGTTTTGTTTCACTGAAAGCTGAATATAAAGGACTTATGAAAACAAGGTAAGTGCAAATCCTGTGTTCTGCACTGAAAAAACCTCCCCCTCTGCCTTTAGCATCCCCCCCGCACCCGCCCGCCAGTCTGCCGGCCCGCTTTGTTACCTGCCATTCATTCCCTGTATCTACTGGTATTCCCTCATACCTTCCAGTGAAGGGAAGTGGCTGTACTCCAGGTTTCCGATCTGCCATGGAGAAGTGAGAGAGGCGGGAGAGCCCTGGGTCCAGCCGCAGTCCCCTTCTTCAAACGAACAGTAAAAGCCAGGGGGGAGCTTTTCTGGAAGAGGGAGAGTCCAAAAAACACAGAAGAGCTGATGAGTGGATTCCTGGGCACAGGCAGAAGGAAAGCAACGAATGTTCTCCCAGAGTTATTTTGGAGCAGACTGACTCTTCCCATCTTCACATGGCCATTTGCTGTTACCCATCATGCCATGGATGACAAAGTGAGGGGGGGAAAAAAGGTAACAACACTTCAAGGTGTGACTGTTGGCTGAAAGAGAGGGGCAAATCCCTGCATATGTGACATTGGGGGGTTTCCTATTTACTTGGTCTCTGCGGCTTCTAGGAACTAACTTACTCAAGATTACAAATCAAGAGATGATTTTCCTAACTTCTGGCCCCCACAACTCCACCTGGGCAGGGAAAATCCTCATCAGTAAAGCACTCTTACCACCGCGTCCCCCCTCCCCCCCTTAACTGAGGTCAGTGCAGTCCAGTGGCTCAGGCGCAGGCAAGTCATTGCACTTCTTAGGTCAATGCAGTGTCAATGTAGACACTGCCTTGCTTAAGTCACCTGTTATTGGCTTTCAGGAGCTGTCCACAATGCCCCACATTGATAGTACAATTGGTACAAGCACCCCAGTGAGGACAGACAGTCCCTTAGCCCATGCCTTGTGAGTCTGAGTGAGTTGGCACTGGCCAGCCATGGGTGCCTAATTGCAGAGTATTCAAGATGTTATAACACACACACAGGCAAGTAAAGCAGAGTAATAACCCCTTTTAGCAGGAGTAAGAGTGAATAGCAACTACACTTCAAAACGACACTGGGGTTACACAGGGTGGTTTGATTAGCTGCACAGCATGACTGGATTAGTTGAGTGCTTGAATTAGCTGCTGACAGACAAGTTGTTATAACTCAAGCTGTTGCATCTCCACTACGTTACTTCAGTCCAGACCCTGGATAGGCCAGCTAGCTCAATCTTAAAGCACCACTTTGTGTAGCCAATTAGTTCATTTTATCATCCATTATCATTGCAAAGCTTTGAGATCTGGGACCTCTGTCTTGGGTTCTTCCTTTACCGCTCCCACTGGGACCGTTAGGTCTGAAACTACACGTTGAGATTTTTGTATGTGGAGACGAATTAGGGGTAATACTCGAGTTACAACTCCAGCTAATTGTGCTGGGAAGACACACCCACAGACACTGAATGCGGAGCAAGGAGTCACAGGGAAGTGATTTGGTAAAGGTCACTGGCAGTGCCATTAACTCTTGCAAGAGAAACACAGGATCCTGAATACTTATCTTGGCAAGAAAGTGAAGGAAGGATGGATTCTCCATTATGTTGTTTGAAAATGTGATTTCAATATAGCTCACATAATCCTGCTAGTGATTGGGGAGCTGTGAAGGGCAATTTAAAAAACAAAAGTGACAGCCATGAAACCGAAACTGCCTATCTTCTCATGTGTATTTATTTAAAGGGGCCTATTTCATGTATGGCCCTCAGCCCTGCAGTATCTGAGCTCCACAAGATTTAATAAAATGCTTCCCTCCTTCACTTCTTCATTTGCAGGAGTAGTTTAAAAGACCATTTCCTCACTCCACTCCCAAAGTTTTCTGTTTATTCAAGAAGTATCATCTTGTCAACAACTGTACAAGAGGCCTATCATTCAAGATGCTGAGCACTGTCAATGCCCATTCACTCCATCAGGATCACAGGACACTCAGCTCCTCACAGGATTAGGCCCTAAACTTCTCTGCTCTCCCAAAGTGCCTCACTGCTGACCTAGATAGGTTAAAAGGGTAGCTCAGAGTCCATGACCTATTCAGTTCTTGGTCTCTCTTCAGGAGGCCAGTTAGTCACTGCTGTGATGATTGTGTCTGCGATGTGAACATCTGATTTTTTAGGTAGGAACTGGACTGAGAATCACCAACTGTCATCACATGTCCATGGCTTTCAAGAGGGACTGCTGGGGCTAGCTTTGAACCTGTGACCTACAGTGGAAGTGAAAAAATCTCCTTATCCCATAGCCATCTAATCTACCATAAACCAAACCTTTAAAAGCACATTTAAGTTTTTGCCTTTTAAAGTCTCCAAATTTGTGCAGCCTTCCCTACACTCTCTAGGCTAAGACGACAGAACCTTCACTGTGTTTTACCGATCTATAGAACTTGATTATTTCATCATCTCAGCCTCAGGCTGGGATCTGAATAAAATGACAGAACCAGGTGTGCCCTGAATTCCTATTGTAACAACTCAGTGTGGTGTCTGGTTGAATGCATTTTCCTGTCTGGGATGCTGTAAACAAGCCCAAGCAGTGGGGGAGACATCTAAGCAACAAACTCTGCCTGGAGGCTAGAAAAAGCTGTAGTTCAGCTCATTGTGATGTATAATAGAAATAGAGATGTATAATAAAAGCTATTACTATCACAGTACATCTCTTTCCTCCTCCTCAAATATGTCATTATGAATTGCTGAATGTCCTGCACTCTAGATGTGCTGCATTCTCAACTACTATTGTTTAATGCTTCGTATATGTAGAAAAGCAATGGAACCCATTTATTGCAATTCCATGGAAAGCTTTCAGGATAGAGCCACTCTAAACACGTTACCACACAGCAGGCTCTCATTAGCATTACCCGGATTAGTGAGGGCTCTGTGCACTGCACAGAGGAGAAAAAAAAATTTCTGGATTGAAAAGGCAATATCCACATACACAGTGCACGTTTCTGAACTTCTTAGCTAGGCAAAACTCACATTGACTTCAGTGAGAGTTCTGCCTGATTAAGGAGAGCAGGAGTTTTATGAGGGTTGGTGAAACCTATTGTGTTTGATAGTATTAGAGACAGGCAAACATCAAAAGTTTCAAACCTCAGTGGGTATGTCTACACTGCAACGTAAGCTCGAGCTTAAACTCGGGCACAAACCTAACCCCTTTTGTTTCTACACTGAAATTGTGCTAACTCAGGGCTTAGTCCCAGTGTCTCAGGACCTGCAGGGTTCAAGCACGAGTCAAGCTAGGACCCAGGGTTCCAGCCCTATTGCTTTGCAGTGTAGACGCCCCCCCTTGACTCATGTCCTAGGAGTCCACCAGAAATATCCCACAATTTCATGGACTGACTTCCTTAGTTCTCTCTGTGACGGGTTGGATCACAGAAACCTCCTTGGGAACTGCCAACTGATGTGCCAAGACTACTTCTGTCCCGGCTTTCCCTGCCAGCTTGGGACTCCAGCACCCTGTCTTGCTGAGCCAGACACGCCAGTCTGAGCCTAATACAGTAATAAAACTGAATACAGATAAAATCTCACCCTCAGAGATGTTTCAATACATTTCTTTTACAGACTGGACGCCTTCCTAGTCTGGGCATAATCCTTTCCCCTGGTACAGCCCTTGTTCCAGCTCAGGTGGGAGCTAGGGGATTTCTCATGATGGCTCCCCTTTGTTCTGTTCCACCCCCGTATATATCTTTTGCATAAGGTGGGAATCCTTTGTCCCTCTGGGTTTCCATCCCCTTCTTCTCAATGGAAAAGCACCAGGTTAAAGATGGATTCCAGTTCAGGTGACATGATCACATGTCACTGTAAGACTTCATTACCCACTTGCCTGCACATACATATACAGGAAGACTTACAAGTAAAACAGAGCCATCTACAGACAATTGTTCTGGTTAATGGGAGCCATCAAGATTCCAAACCACCATTAATGGCCCACACTTTGCATAATTACAATAGGCCTCAGAGTTATATTTTATATTTCTAGTTTCAGATACAAGAGTGATACATCTATACAAATAGGATGACCACACTCAGTAGATTATAAGCTTTATAATACCTTACACGAGACCTTTTGCATGAAGCGTATTCCAGTTACATTATATTAATACTCATTAGCATATTTCATAAAATCATATAGAGTGCAACGTCACACTCTCTATCCCAACAATCTCCAATCGACAACTGAAAACAGAAGCCACCCCCTTTGGCATGGGCGGGGGGTATCGTAGGCCAGAGGATGCCAAGTCTTCCCAAACAGCTAGGCATGGCCCTGCCCATGTGCCACCCCGAGGCCCCCTCCTGCGTCCCGTTCTTCCCCCATGGCCCCAGCCCAGACTGCTCCTCTTCCCATCTTTGCTAAGATTCTCCCCCGAAGCGGGTGGTGGTTGGGGCTAGGGTGGGCCACCCAGCTGGCCTGGGGCTGGGGCTGCCCAGTGCTCTGGCTGGACAGCCCGGCCAGGATGGCCTGGGACTCAGGGCAGCTGGGGTGGGGCTCCTCTGGCTGCGAGGGTGGGGAGGAGGGCAGGGCCAGGGGCTAGCCTCCCTGCATGGGGGATTCATGCACCACCCATGTCCCTTGGCGTACAGCTGCAGCTTATCACTGGAGAACCTCCTGGGTTTGCAATGGAGACCGGACTGAACAAGCCTTTTGCAAAGCGTGCTGCTTCATGGTCTTGGGCACACAGCCATATTTTGGTGAATCTCTGGTGCAAGGCCAATAAAACTGTGGCCTTCAGCAAAAGCACCAGGAATGATCATGCGTACCAGCAGGTAGCTAAAAAGCTGGCAGCTTTGCAGTTTTTCCAGACTGGTGACCAGTGCAGGGAGCATATTAAGAAGCTTAAAAGTGAGTACCAGACAACCAGGGACAAGAACCGCACCTTGGGCAACTCACCAACACCATGCCCATTTGATGAGGAGTTTGACCAGGTGCTAGGCACTGTGCCCAACCATGGTTCATGATGACCTGCTCAGTTGGGATGGTGCTGGGCTAGCCCCTGAATCCAGCCGGGAGACTGATGGGAGCCAGCAGCAGGCTCCAGTGAGGAATATGAAGTGACTCTGTTTATGAAACCAGTCCCAGAGGAGGTTGTGGATAAGGATCAAAAGCAAATTCTAGGTCCCTACTTGGAAGAGCTGTGTGACCCCATCCCATCCTGAAGAACACTCTGCTGGTGAGTCTGCAGTAAACCCAGTGGAGACAGAAGCTGCTCCAGAGCCTGGTAACTTTCTGACTCCAATATAGTTTATTATTACAGTAACGGGAGAGATTTCTGCTCTAAAA